TGGGTGGATTCCTACCCCAGGGGAGGACATCCATCACAAAGTAATCTCATGCGTGGGAAATTAACGTCTCCTGCCCCTAACCCTGCAGGAGACGGGACCTCCATTTATTCATCACTATCCGAGAAGACTAGAATATCTAAACCATTTCTTGATGTTATAGAAAGGCAGCATATTCTTCTCAATTATTTTAAGACCTTGAGTGTTGGTCCGGCTGGCCGGGGCTCAAACCCTCGACCTCCTGCACATTAGTCCAGTGCTCTATCCATTGAGCTAACCGGGAGGATATCATAGGGAGAATTTACATGTTGATCACTCCTGGGAGTTAATGGAATTTGAAAGCAGTGTGGAAGTCTTCCTGGCTGGTTCACAGCTTGCATTGTATAATGGGAAAAGACAAAATAGACCAATATGGATAGAAAATATTTTCCATGGGAAAAAGGCATCTAGGAAATGGAGCAACTTCCAAAAATCATCATTGGAATGGCATTTTACATGTACTTTACTGTTATTCATCTGTAATTCTTGACTACCCTTAATAAAGATACGAAGCAATATGCAGTTCTGTAACATGCACAGGTCCTACCTCAAGTAAGCTCGAACTTTAGTTCCTCTAAACCAACACTGGATTTTGAGTGCAGCCAGGAATTCTTTATTTCTTTGATCTTCGGCATCTCTGCAAATTCAACAACAAATTGCTATGAAAATGACAAAGCTGACGTAGTGTGCATGTGATCTTTGATAATGATCCTTGTATGCTTTGATATATGGTTCACGTCGATATGCGACTGTAGAGAATTACTGCAATGCTTATTAATCAGTTTAGAGTTTTTCCTGTCAAATATATAGTGAGAGAATCATGTTTGAAAGCCTGTTGCTTGCGCGCAAGCTGCAATGAAACTCCGGCTTGTGATGGAAACACTACAGTCGCTTAGCTTCCTCCCGACAGAGTAGAACAATTTACTGTAAAAAAATATCTTAAACGATCACTGATCACCGACGTTTTTCGCCAAAGAAACTTATTGCATCGCTGGAGAGCACAATTATTACGTTGCAGAGTTGTTGTAAAAAAAAAAAATAAATAAATTCGAGTGGTTGTACCAAAAAGAACCTGGAAAAAAAGATAAATAAAAGGCACCCTTATAACTTCAAATAATCAATCAAACCTCTTTTTTTCGAATAACTGATCGACAACTTTGCCCCTTGATTCCATCAGTCTCACGAAAGTCGCCATTTCGTCTTTCTATCTTCTACATTGTTTCCATGGAAACGAAAGCCCTGCAACTTGTCAACCCCAATGTCTACGCTTCCACCGGCAACCGAGCGAGGACACTGCTAAACCGCCAAATAAATTAATCACCTTTCACTTTAATTCGCAATTCTAAAAGACCTAGATTCTTCAGTGTATTCGAGGATTACTTGAATACCTTAGTAGACGATTTCTTCACAACATGGTTTCTGACGAAGATTAGATTCTCGTTGTTACATTAAATGAAGCAAGAAAACTGGGAACTAGCAGGGCTCATTTGGCAACCGGCCCTTTCACTGCTAAAAATAGAATGTTGAATGAACAGGTGTCACACATCTATTCTCCTGGACCTTATGCAGTTCATGTTATTTTAATTTCCCAAATGATCTTGCTTCATCACGTTGCTAATTTGATTCTCTACTTACAAAGTAATTTTCCCGTGACTCGACTTGACAACCCACGTGCCCAACACGTGTGAGTGTTTTCACACCTCATTGGCCCTTCTGGCCATGGCCAGCGGAAAAAATGGCGAGGACATGCTTTAAAGATTTTCTTTTGTCCCATTTACAGCTACAAATTCAAGACAGAATTTATTCCGTGTTAGAAAATTGATCTCTAGCATCGATATAGCATTTTTTTCCTCTTTTGGTTTTAATAGTTCTCGTATTACTACAGCGAGGTCAAAGTCAAATTAGGGCTTTCTTATTTATGGCTATGATACAACTTTTGGTTCTTTCTTAAAAGCTTTTTCTAATTAAAGCTGTTTTTCGAAAGCGCGTTCGGTGCGCAAACACTTGGTTTGTAATATTTTCCAAAGTGCGCGGGGCTGTTTTCTGTAGGCAAGTTTGTGCTTATCTGACAGTTTCAGAACGTGACACGATAACGAATAAAATGTATTAAAGCGGCCTAAATTACATTTTAAAATTGTGCGCAAACTAAAGCCGCTACAGTGACGGGGGACTGGAGTCACTTCGCCGACACATTTTTAATCAACAGCAAAATTTCCCAGTCTTAATTTGTCTTCAAAAATACTTGAGGTGAAAAAAACTTTCGATTTTCTGTTACAGTATGTAATGCAACTAGTTTAATTTTAGGAATTACTTCACCTAGCATCGGCTTTGACATGTCTCTGTTTGTAAACAAACTTCAACAAACATGTTGCTTCCTTGACCTGTGCGTGTTTAGATCGCGTATGATACATTTAATTGATATACTCCTGCAGTAATAAAATAACGAATGAAAGAAACTATGCGCCACAAAAGTTTATTTCCTGATACCTTACGGCCTCTAAGAAAATATTAAAGTGCTCGTCTCAGGGAAGTGGAAACCAGCTTGTTTTACAAACCTACGCGATTTTACTTAAGAAGATGCTCGAAAAAACTGACAGTATTTTAAGGAGTAGTCCCAGCTTCGAGTCGATATAGGCTTCTGCGGGCAAAAAACATACTTTATAAGTTTCTGTGCCCGATCTTTCGCAGCTGTAGTAACAATTATTTCTGTAGATAAATAAATCATTGAATTTCACCCCGATCTTTTGACTATTTTTTCGACACAATGTTTGGAAGACGTGATCCTGGTTTACAACCCGCGGAAGTTCGCTCGACCCACAGATAATAACTATTTTTAGAATGACCGATTGTTACGGTTTCCGCATGAATCTTTGTAACCTCTTGTGAGTAATGACCCGGAGGTGTTCGGAGATCTTCGGGTTTACGAAAATTGCGCAAGAACCATATATGGAAGAAGTCGGCCTTGTCGTCAGTAATTTTTCTGTTGCTATTCAAATTCATGATTTCATTGGCTGCATATGACATCACGTTTTTCTTTTGAATGTTCTATTTTTGCCCCTTATGTTTCTCAACAAGCTATGCAAGAAAGGTGTAGTACAATTCCTAAATCTCCCGAAAGCGAAAAGGCCTGTTCCTCGCTCTGTCTGAAAGTTGAAAATAATCAAGACAGAGAAAACGCTGTTCTATTTTGGACACAATTTGTTCAGGACCTTTTCTACTACACGTGTACGAAGACTGCATAGAGCCAAATTTTGTACGCGAGCAGCTGCGAGAGCGAAGCGTGCGTTTCAATTTGGTTTCCTTGTTTTCTGTAGACTGTAAATTTTTTCTTGATGCCTCCTCTTCTTTTGGTACCAAGACCGGCTGAGTCGAAGTTTGGATGTATGAATCGATCCTCTGATATGAGTAGCGGAAAATGGAAGAGTGTCTCGTCAACTGAACTTGCTCAAAGCATTGACGGTGGTGGAGCGGGTAATTCGGCAGAAATTCTAATTGTTGATTGTAGATCGCTAGTAGCTTTTAATGGACTACACATTAGAGGAGCTATTCATGTGAATTGCACCGGAATAGGACGTAAAAGACTTTCACAAGGCAAGGCAAAACTAAAAGACTTGATTTCTTCAGCGGAGGGCAAAGAGAAGTTTATCCGTGGTGGAGTGGGGACAACCTTTGTTATCTATGATGAGTTGTCAAGTGATCCTGAAGACTGCAATCCTTGCCGTCCAATTTGCTTAGTTTTACAAAATCTTTTAAAAGAGGGGAGAAATATTTCGGTTCTAAAAGGTAAGTCCTGCTTGCAACACTTTCTGTTGTTTTTATATTTACTTAGAGTGATTTGTGTTTAACCGTGGTGATGGACTGTTAGTGCTCCGCGCTGTTTTGTAAGTGGCCTTGTCAACAGAAATGGGCTCGCGCTGAGACGATTTTTTGAAGCTGACGCAGTTTCCAATTTTGCCTGGAGTCACTGTTTTGGTTTCAAAAGACGCGACCTTCGTTACTTTTATGATATTGGACGCGAACTATGTCATCTCCGCTTGTTGAAATCGGTGTGCATGCGATTATTGAACCGTGGTAGATGTGTGGTCACGGCAAGTATATTCTGTGACGCAGATTTGGGCTTTTGTAAGTGGTCAAATACCGAAAGAGCGTAGCACTGCAGCGCTCTTTTTCTATGGCATTTCTTTGTTCATCTGAACAGGAAATAGAGCCACTGACGTTGGCGTTTTCTTGGCACAAATTCTCAGGGGGACACGAAACTATTTCTTTGTTGAAAAAGAAAACGAAACCTCTTTTGGATCATAATACCAGATTAGGGGCATCCAATAAGCTTAAATATTCCGAATGGAAAGTTGCTCTGCACGGCAATATCGTTCAATGCGGTTTTCCGTTGATTTATTTAGAGAAATATTTCTCAGCATATCATGTTAGATCGTATTTATAGCGATCGGCGTAATCCAGTTTAAGATCAAGAAATCACGAGAAAAGCACCTCGCAGTGCGTCTTTAAGATGCCTTCGTTTTGCGATGTAACGCCACTTACCAAAGAGCTCTGATTACAATCTACACGTAAAATTTTTGGTATGCCTCGCGTTGAATAAGCTTGGTATGAATGACCTAGCGCAAAAGCTATGAAAAGAATTACCATGGGCATCGAAGATTATGCTATAGTGGGTTTCAGCAATTTTAGCCTCAAATTAGGTCATTGAAGTGAAGAATATGGCATTCAAAAATTCGCAAACATTTAAATTGCCACAGTTTTGAAAATCTTTCATTGACAGGAAATCAGGATTTCTTGAATTTGGTAAATGCATAGCATTCTTAATTCTTTAAAAGAGTTACTTATGGCATCATTTTTTTATTCCTTTTTTTTACTGCAACACTTTGGGGTGGACTTTGAAAAAGTTTTCTTGTCAATTCGCATTTTACGTAACTGTACTCAACTTCATGAACTTCAATTTTTTTTGCAGTCTGTGCTTTGTTTTTACACAAAGAATTCAAGTGTTTGCAAATTAACCTTAACTACTTCATAAATAGAAATGATGAAATGAAAAGTAAATATGTTGAAATATCCCAAGTTGGCACTTCCACAAGGGAGCTAATACCATAATTGCACACTAATTAGTTGTGCAATATTTAGCAAAGAATGTTCATCAATTCTTATTTCTTATTATGTAAGAGATTTTCTGTTTTGGTCAAGAGAGGATCTTACAAGAAAGAAACCTTTTAAAATATGCTTATTTCTGCCTAGTCATGTTGTTGATAGTCCCAAATTTGTTAATTCCTTTCTATTTCCTTTCACCAGATTTCCTTGTTTTAAACAGTTTTTTTTTTTTTGCTGAGTCATGCTTGGTCAGCAGATTCATGTTATGTAATTGAATTGATCTTTTCAAGATCCTTTTCCTTGTCACTACTATTTTTGTGTCTAAGAATATTTTAAAACTGAGCTATATGCTTCATTAATGGTTGATATTGCTGTAGGAAGTTTACTGGTTACTAATTACTCAGAAAGCTCTTGTATTGTAAATACTCTATGGCATATTTAGTCATTACATGTTCTTTACCATTTAAATGTTTACTCTCTTAGCTGCTTCTCCTTCCAAGGATGCGACTTTGTTTTCACTGATTTGACTTTTCTACCTGTATATCAGGATTTGAAGCAAATGAGTTCTCACATTAATCAGTTCATTGTTTAAAACAAAAATTTAAACTGTTGCTAGTTTCATGATGACAAGGGTCTTGTTTATATTAGTTAAAAAATAATTCAAAGATGTGTAAAAAGGATAAGAAAGACGGAAAATTTTGTGATTGAAAGTCATGTCAAGTTTTACACATTTTTCTTTACATACTTCCAAATCTTTCATTTCAATCAAATCTAAGGCTTTGCTCTTGATGTAAATTTATTTCTATAGATGTCTACGTATTTTTCTTTTTTAGACTTCTTTCTTCTTTCATTTTAATTTTGCCAATATTGTTCTCTTGGTAAAATCTCAAGGTGCTTGAAAGCTCTTGTCTCAGAAAGCTGAAGTACCGAGTTTAACAGGTTGCCTCAAGACTAGACTTCATGACCTCTGGCATTTATACTGTACTATATCACTGCCTGTTAATTACTGATATGAAACTAAAGTAGTGCCCAGCCCTTGATGTACTAGACTTTTTCCTGTGAGGTTCTTGATGAGACTGATTTTATCTTGAGCTTAAAGAATGCAGGGTCTTCTGTTTCCAACCCTGTGGGAGGATTCACCCAAAAATATTTGCATCTGTAGTAGTACCATGGTCACTGAACTGGAAACAATGTTGAATTTGGGTGACTTAAAGAGGTCACTAAACCTATGAATGAAAAAAAAAGTAACCCTGGAGATTGACAAATCACTAAATTTGCAATGTTTTTTAGCATTGTATATACAATATAAAATCTAAATTTCTTTTTTAAAAAAATATGCTAAAATGTTTCAAAATCAAAACCACTTTTGTCTTAGTTTGAGGTTTATTTATTATTAACTGATCTTCCTCAATGGATTATGGTTGACTATTGTAATTGATAAAAGGGTCACTTAATTTCCTTGATTATCTCTCATTTTTTGAACTGACCCATAAAATTTGCAGGTTCTGTGGTAATGAACCTAGTGCTGTTGAACCACACATTTTTTGGACTGTTTTCTAATTCAGGCAAATGTAAAATCGTAAAGAGTTTCAGCAAAGTCAAACAAGGGTTGGACAAAATTAATTGAGACTCGTCAGCAGTTTACTATTTGGAATTCTCTTCAAGATTTCTGTAGACCTCAGTATGATGCAAGAAGGTGATAATTCTCGTATCGTGCCCCCATATCACCCTGGTTGATGCAGACCACTGAAGGGCAAGATATCACCTCACTGCTGACTTCACCTTTTTGATATTTGGCCATCAACAAAGTGGGCTTATGTGGTTCAGTTGTGTCAGTAGTTTATGTTTGCTGGGTTCATTAAGTAAACTGAGAGCCCAGAGTTTGGGCAGAGGACCATTGCTTTCAAAGATGCCCTGCAGGATTCTTTCCTTAGCACCTTTGAATTTACCACTAGAGAAAACTTTTGGTAAGTTTTTGTATGAGAAAGAGCACCTTGTTGCTCATTTCTAAGCAATGAAACCAAAAATTACATTATTTCCACTCCAATTTAAAGTTTGTCATTGGAATTAATCTGTTTACAAGTTATTCTGTAAATATGGTGTATAATTTGTGGATAGTTTTGTCATTTCTGCTAAGAAACTTCTAACACTTACCTGTTTTCAAACAAACTTCTCTTTCCAAGAGATACTTTGATTAAAAGCAATTGTGCAAAAGTTAAAAAAAAAATTAAATGTCAACAGCCGTGCATAGGTTGTTTAAATCGGTGTGGCAACCTTATTGAAGTCATTTAAAAAAAGCTTTATACAAATATATTTTTGTACCTCATATTTGACGTTCGGTTTGTCCATATTTGCTGAAATAGAGTAGATGAAAGGTCAGCCGACTTGTACTCGGCTTTATCGAGAGGGTCGGATTCATAAGGATCAAGTATTTACGTGCTCTCCAACTGTGGGTCATACGCAGTTTATTTTCAAAAAGAAAGGTCGGATTTTGTTTCCAACAAAAGATTCCAAACTTTGTAACGTCTAAAACCATAGGGCGGAAGGTCGAGACGCAATAGTGAGAGGTAATTTTTTTAGCAAGAAGTTTACCGAGTGAACAACTACTTCTAAGATTAATCTAAAGGTTAAGATAAATTTGTTTTGATTTTAATTGTTGAAAATTACTTCTGTTCATTTTTTTCAAAAAAATGCGATCTTTAAGTTTGTGATTTACTTGTTTTGTTTGAAATTGATGATTATAACAATTTTTTTAGTAGTTAGAGTTGCTGCGATATGAGAATTTTGGTCTCTCGTCTTCTGTTATTTTCAGATTACATGCGTACTGGCAGTTGCCCAAACTTATCGTAAATTTGAAACAAGTTATTTCGAAGCTAAGATGCGATCGAGAAGATTAAGAGTGGTGTCGATTTTTGTCTTACTTAAGTTATTTAGGAAATAAATATTTTTTATCTTTGTCATTTGTTGCATTTTTGCGGCTGCTGTTGGGTGACATTAGTTACGGTTCCTTATTCTTTTTTTCTGTCCTTAAGTTTTCGATGAGATCAAGTTGATTAAAAAAGTCTGCGAAGTTTTGCTGGCATCGTCAAAATTCGGAGGTTTTTTCGCTTTGAGTTTGCTGTAAGGGGAACGAAAATGCTTCTCAGCTGAAATTCTGCGTGGTTCACAGAACCATTATGGTTCCAAGACGTCAAATCAAGACTCTTATTTGCCAAGGTTGGGCGAACATTTGGATGGCTTTGCTCTGCCACACCCCAGTTCATGTTAAAAATCACTCGTCTCTGCTAGAATTCTTGTTCAAATCTTCCCCGTTTTATTCTTTTGTCTTTGGTGATCCATCGCTAGGGCCTTATGCAAAACATGAATGGTTCAACTAGGAGTAGGCTGCTTGGAAAATCTTCCCTCTTGTCGTTTGTGCAGTGATTATTGAAGAAGCTCACCACAGGTGTTTATGGCAACGGGCCACCAGTGCGTAACCCCGGAAAATAATAAGCCAAGCAACAAAGTCTGTAATTGTTAAGTCATAATTAAGTAATACCTGCACTTTCCATCTTCTCAATGACCTAATGGCGCTTTTCTTCCTTACGTATGTTTGGTTTTTGTAATTTTATCCGCTTTTGGACGAAACCGGCTCTCGTTAGAGCTGCATTGATAACAAAGAAGCGAACTATGACTGCGCGCTGTTGTGAAACACGAAGAAACCTTTTGCAACGACGTCGCTCGCACCTAACGGGTAAACACAAGGCTTGTCTTTACAACACTACGTTCGTTTTTGAAATAACAGGTGGCGTGGTCAAAGTCAATAGCTCAAGGCCGTGGTTCCATATCGGCACCGACCACTTGACTGCAAGATTTTCACAACATAATAGCTTTTTGTGGGGAAAAAAACTCCTCAAAGCAGGCAGATATGATTCGCTTTGGTTTGGTGTACAGCTTCTCTTGCGCAAACTGTTTAACTTGGCAAACTGCTGTCCGATTTGACAGTTCCACTTCCGTCTGGATCAACGAAATGCGAGAGCTTTAAATCTCAGGACGTGTTTCGTGAAATGTTTTTGTGTGGGTTAAAACTTTGCGTTGGATTTTTTGCGTTTTACTTTCCACTGCTTGCGCTGTCTGTAAATGGTCTCGTTTGGAAAACCAGCCGTGGAACAAACTCTCTTCCGGTTTACCCTCGCGTCAATTTGTCAAACCCACTTCCGGTCATGTTTGGTACCCGCTAAGTAGGAAGTTTCATGGCAAAGTTTTATTCTGCCCTGCTCTATGACTATGGCGCGTATTTCATACAAAGAAAAGAAATCCTCACGCGATCTAGAAGTTTTTCAACCAAAATTTTTTTTGGAAAGATCGTTCTGATGGACATATTTTCGAGGTGAACACATGAATCATGGTTGAAGCAATTTTGTCATAAGAATGTTATTGCTACATTTGACAACTCCGTCCATGTTTTTAACTGTTTTTTAATGAAGTAATTGTTAGGTACTGTCCTATTATCTTCGACCGTCAATCAAATCTAAAAAGGTTTGTGAAATCGTTGCAGTTAATTTTCCATGATTGTGAGCTTTTTTCTTTACCTTTTCTTCAGGCGGACTTAAGGAATTCTGTAGGGATTATCAAAACTTGTGCGAAAACGCCCCTGTCAACCACTGTGACCTCGCTGACTTCCCGCCTTCACCAACGACATGCGACTCGTGCCCAGGGCGCCCTCAAGGAACTCCTGTGACGGCCATCTTACCTTTCTTGTATCTTGGCAACGAAGAAGGCGCGGCTGATGAAGCCCTAATTGACAGGTTGTCAATTAAGTACATCCTTAATTTGACTCCCCGATGTCCGAATTTTTTCAGTCACCGATCGGATCTTAACTATAGGCAGATTAAAGTAAACGACTCGAACCAAGAGGATATAGCGCAGCATTTTGACGAAGCCATACAATTTATTGGTAAGTGCCTCTGAAGTTGTTCTTCAGAAAGTCTCCAGGACCTCCTGGCGGGAGCGCATGTAACACGCTCGCGAGGAATCCCGTGCGCGCGCGCGACGCGACGCGAGAGTGAGAGAGGGTCATTCGCGCTGATCTCTTGCTGTCGCCTGCTGGCCATAGTCCCTCGCGCCCGCTCGAGGTCGTTGACGAGAGTGAAGTCCTGGAAACAATTACTGTTGAGTTAGGAAGTTCATTGCCCCGACCAGCTGAAGACACAATTTCACCAGTTCTGAATTTTCTCCTTGGCCATTGCACTAGAGAATACCTCTCGTGCGCTGAAAGTGGGCAAGTTTTCAGAAAGCCGGAGTGTTCAAAACTTTGGTATCATTATCAGGGAGAGCTCCGTATAATGACGGCTGTATGTTACATCTTCATCAGTTGGTGTTGGTAGTGCTACAATGACACATCAAGTTTAAATTTCACGAACGAAAAGTCAAACATTCACGTGCAGATAAAATGTCACAAAAAGTCAAAAAGCCAAAAAGTTTTCCGTAAGTCAAATGTCACATTAAGTCAAGATGTCACTTCAAGTCAAATGCTGTGATAGGTTAACGAGGTCACGCTAAATTAACATGTCACGATAAGTCAAAATGTCACATCAAGTCAAGAAGTAAGGATAACTCAGAGTCACACATCGTTAAACTGTCACTACAAGTAAAGGGGCACAAAAATGCAAAAAATCACCACAAGTTTAAAAGTCACGCCAAATCAAATGTGACATCACCCAATCTGACTTCTTTTCATCTTTTTGTCGCTTCTACAGACGAGGCCCGAGAACGAGGCAGCGGTATCCTTGTGCACTGTCACGCCGGTGTGTCACGCTCGGCCACCGTGACAGTAGCATACATCATGAAGCAACAAGGTCTTTGCTTGGGAGACGCGTATAAATTTGTCAAAGAGCTAAGGCCGGTAATCTCACCAAACCTCAACTTCATGGGACAACTGCTGAAGTATGAGAAGAAAAAGAGAAACGACGAGAGTTCATAAGGCAAATGCTAGTTTGGGGGGTGTACTAGGACAAGGTATGGAGCGAACACATGTGACTCGTCTGTGTCTTGGCTTCCAGGCCTCTTGGGTACTTGGTATCCGCGAGTAAGATGAGAACTGGGGTGAACCCGTAGATTTCTCATCTCCTGTTAATAATTTGTATATAGGATATTAATAATAGTATTAATAACATTAGTAATAGCCATATCAATAATTATGTCTATTGTAAGGGAACAGTAACAATCGATATTATCGGATTAGAAACGTGGAAAAAGGATATTCTCTATTTTTATTTCGACGTATGTGTGTTAGCTTTGTAGGATGTTTGTTTTGCAGTGTCGTACACAAACGTATCTTTACTTGTCTCATTTTTTACCTCACCTTCGGTAGAACTTGGGGAAAAGATCGCGATGATAAGTCCACTTCGGATATTTTCGGAAGACATCGGAACTCATCGTCGACTGTCCGTTAAAACGAGTCCCCAAATTTGTCATGTAGAAGTGAAGTACTGCACTGTTGATCAGAAACTTTCTCGTATCATTTCAGTGGTGGACAGTTTTAAAATCGTTCAAGGGTATTAGCAAGCTTTTTGTTAACAACTTCTCGTAACTTTCACGTTTCTTCCTTAGATAATTGTGTTTTGACTCGATTTATATTAACACTAAGTACTGTGTACTTGAACGCCCGTATACATTAATTGTATGGATCTGACAAAAAAATTCCCTCGTATTAAATGAAGATAGCTATAAACGAATATATGACAGAGGGAGGTGACATCGTACCAAAACTTCATCTAAAGAAGTCATCAGGATCGTAGAATATTTTAAACGGATTGGAAAGGTGAGGAGTTTGATATCGAGGTAACTCAAGCGCATCTTGAACTTGGCGTTGTTACACTCGTAGGTGTTCAACGCCTTGTGTCGATAGCCGACTATTGAAGCAGACCTGGAAAATTCTCTAGTCAATGCAGCAAAGGCTTACGCGCGAGTTTCTCGCCCGTATTCTCCTAGTATTGAGTTATTTCCAGGGCTATTCGATTTGGCGATTCGACTAACTCTGATTATGATGACAAGGAATCAGAAAGAGATTAATTTATTGCCAGCTTGCTGTGTCTTGATGAAATATAAAATTTTTTGGTAAATTTGAACTTCTCGTTAAACGGGCAGATACGTGCATCGTTGTGTGTGTGTGTGTGTGTTAGTGTTTGATTGATGGACAATTATATGTATTTAAATGACTGAGAGATGCTTTTTTGTTCATGTTTGAACTCTTGGTGAAGGCGTTGCGTGAAGGGGAGTGCGTTACAGAAAGACACTTAACGGTTTCCATCGCCGAAGCCCTTGTTGGAGTTTTTTTTCTCCCGCTGCTTTGGCCATCAAACATTGGCTGATTGTAAAGGCAACTCGATTCCAGTTTTAGGTTTTTAAAAATTAAATCTACAGCTCTTTCCTCAGCTGAGTGATTTCTGAACTCCTGGACAACTGGACGCAGAAGCTTGCGATTTCGTATTTGCAAAATAGCTGGACATTTTCACTTTTATTGCGTAGCAAGAGAATATCATGATATTCTCTAGTATGTAGAAACGATTGTAAACGTTCATTTTAATAGTTTTTCTGGTAGAACGCCGAACACCGACGAACATCCAAGGAACATCCCAACCGTAAGTTGGAATTTCCGGAGATGATCGTCAAGACTCGTACTTCTTCGTAAGTAACTCGTGTCTGTTCCCATCATTATTTTATTTGTAGCTTGTAGACGCAGACGAATATAAGTTGGTGAATAGAGTAAGATGCTCAGACGAAACCATAGTCTAGAAAATGTCAGGTTGATATTTTGTAATAAATCAGTTAATTTATAGTAGGTCATTTACAGCTAGAAAAGACGTTGATTTTTGCAATAAAATAGCTGAACTTTGTATTGGTTCCCTGATGTAATTATTTGTCAGTAAGATACAATGGATATATGAAGTTCATATATTTTGAACTGTGGTATAAATACGTATGATGCACGATCCTTCGCAGTAGATAGCGCTATTTATGCAATAGCGAAAATCAGACCTGAAAAAAATCAGGCCTGTACGGGATTCGAACCACTGACCTCTGCGATACTAGTGCAGCGCTCTACCAATAGAGCTAACAAGCCAACTGGGAGCAGGCCGTTAAGTTGATTCGTAATAAACCCGTGATGATAAATCAGATACAATGGATATATGAAGCGCTATCTACTGCGAAAGATCGTGCCTCATACGTATTTGTCAGTAAGTAGGACAGACCCCCCACTCTCCCCTCCCTACACCCGAACCCCCTTTTTCCCAACCAATCCGCGCGCTCGAATGAGATGTCTTTTTCTCATCCTTTCTCGACGCATATCCTCGTCTCTACGAGAGGGTGTCGTCGTATCAAAGATTACCTCTTGAACCGAACCTTTTGCGTTTATTTGAGAAAATTTTTAAAAAAGACTACATCTTAATGTCGGTATCTAAACAACTGCACACCCACCCGTCCCCTAAACCCAATAACACTCAACTGATAACAATTTAGGGTTAATGTTGGTTAGGGGAAGGGTGGGTGCGCAGAAACTGAATTATTATTCCGTTTAACTCCATACTACTCTAAAACTATCCTAAGGGTAACCTCTTTGCTTCACCAGGGTTTCCTATATCGAAGAGCTGGAGACATGGTGAATTATAGAGCAGTGTGGAAATCTTGCCGCAATTTTTCATTCTCCAAGTTATAAAGTATTTTCTAAGTGACAATAGTTCCTTCAGTGCAATATTTGTTGATGTTTTTTTTTCTCTTTTGACGCGTGAATTCAGCACACAGAATGCCTTTTTTTCTTCTTGATTAGCTGGCTGAGCGTGCAGTTGCAAAACTTCGTGCCAAACTTCTGCCGTGACGCCCGATCATTGGCTGGAGTCATTCATCCATATTCATCAGAAATTAAAGAATTTTTAGCAAAACTACACTGACCAGCGAAGAGTAAAGACGTCCGTGCTTGTCCCAGTGTTGGACATAAAATTGAACTCTGAAGGAACAGGGCTCTTGAACTTCAAGAACGAGCAATGGAAACCGGTCTTGTGCTTCTATGACAAAAGGTAAGCAATCCTTTGGAAATATCGCCTTAAACTCTTTCAGAAAGCTGAGCAGGTCTCGTGTCAGTTGTTTGGATGAGCGGTTCTTCAACTCGAAAAGCATTTGAGTAAGAGTGTCGACATTTGCAGCAGCGGAATCTATGCCTGGTTGGAAAAAATTGCGATAGAAAGTCAATGGTCTCCTCGGGTCGAACGCGAAAGCCAGGAGATTTATAAGACGTTGTTCTGTAACTCACACAGACACGAAGCTTTTCAGCGAAGGCTTGTCTACCAAGTCCCACCTTACAAGATTTTATACAACAGAAATAAAACAAAATATTGATTACAAAGCTCTCTAGGTCGCACGTCGCTACAAGCAATATTTTTCCTTTATGTATGTTTCAAAAAGCTAAGCAGTTTTTGACGAAGTCTGTTCATTCACGTTTCAGGAAGAGGAAAGTTGTCTGAATATTGGAAGGATAAAGAATTTGGCCGAAAGAAGACAATGAAATCATCGAATATGAAGAGGATATGGAAAAGATAAGAACTTTTAAATTATTGAGTAACTGTAACAGAAATGGTGGCTCTTTAGACATTTTGTGCTTGTAACAGGACTTCACTCTTCGTCAGTTGTCTGACGACTTTATTCATCTTGCTCTCGGAAGAATGGAACAGATTGTTTGGTGAGAGATTTAACGATTTATGTCGAGCCACCATTTTTGGATTAGTTATAATGGTACTGATTGTTATGCAAACCTTGAACGATCACACGACTCCTTCATTCATTTCCAATAGTAGCTCTGATTAGGTGTAATTTATCTCTGAAATTTTCTGGTGGTAGCAATGACTAAACTACTTACGATTTGACGTGGGAATAAATTTGAATAAGGTACTGATGATAGAATTGTTGATTTCGAAGGACTGATCGCTCGTTCTGTGCGTATAACAATTAGTATCTTAGCAACACCTTCGTTGATGTCGCAAAACGGTGATATTTGTTAAGGTGGCACTGCAATTATAGAAGTCGACAAAATACCCAACAAAATTCTAAACTTCACTTAATTCGTAGAGTTAATTGACAGAAAGTAAGTCGTTGTTAACGGGAACAGTTCACTGAGGTGGGACTACAGTCCGCAATCTATCGGAACAAACACTATTTCAATAATAGAACAAGTTTATTTGTTTGCTTTTGTCGCATTTATTCGATAGAAAAGGATGTACAAAAAACTCCATGACAAATTAAACAATTAAAAACAAAATTGATATATTTGATGTTTCATTCTTGGAATTTGGATAAATTACGGGTCAAATGTGTTTAAAAAAAGTGACATTTTCTTTCGGTCAAAATTTAAAACAGATTCCAATGCAGTGCCACCTTAATACCTGTGCTTCAGGTTTTGTCGCATTAACTAAGTTCATCAACTTCCGGTTTTGTCGCATTAACTAAGTTCATCAACTTCCGGTTTTGTCGCATTAACTAAGTTCATTAACTTCCGGTTTTGTCGCATTAACTAAGTTCGTGTCAAGAGAACATTGGCTGTAACGTTGTGACAGGATTCCGAAATTCGCACAAAGAACTGTATTCTTTATTTTGGTCTAGTTAGTTTTCTTTGTGGTCGTTTTGTACGCGCCAATGTTCTCTAGTCATTTTAAAGGTTCCATCGTTAAAACTCAAGTGCCTGGTTGCAAGCGATTAAAAAAATTCGATTTATGAGATTTCATCATACATAAACCAGCTTTTTAAAATTAAGTTTCCTTTTCGGACGGAAAAATGAAGCTTCAATACAGTCTTAAGTAAACTTTCTCGTGGTCTTTCTTTGTACCTTTTTATTTGTTCCAAATAATGGAAAAAAATTATTTGTTCCAAATAATGGAAAATAGACCAGTTTGGAAAAAGAGCTTCTCTGTCAATAGACGATACCAAAAGTTAGTCGTTGTCGCGTCGGTACGAAGAAATATTGATTTTCATCTTCCGAAGATATATTGTATCCAGATGAATATGCGAAATTAATACACGCAGGTACCATGAATATATGGAATGTTTTTTAAAACAATTCTGCCGAGAAATTCACTTCTTTATATAAGGAATTCGAACGACAAGGAGAACTTTTAATAACCATTACACTTTTCGTAATTCCAAATTTACGGCGAAACTACGTTGATTTTGCCATGGGATCGAATCTTAATCGATTATCTTCTTGCTGGTTTATTTGACGCTTTCTCCTAAATTCAAACGTTCGCGGTATTGGCCAATTTTTTTTAATCAGGTTGGACTCGACATAAACGATCCTAAGTCATTCTGTAGACCAGGCATTTGGTTTTAAAATGTAGCTTAATTTAGTTACTCTAAGATTGGAAGGAAGATCTTTTTGTGCAGCCAAGTCGGTGTAACACAGAAAACCATAAAATTCAGAAAATTTATCGGTTTTGATTTTCAAATTTATTACAAAATAACACAATTATAATTTATTTTCATCAAATAAAGAAATTAAGGTTTGATCAATCAGTCTAATTACTTTTGTGGCAAAGCGAGCTCTGAACAAATTGCTTCGAGAATTCTATGAATTATCTGATATTTTTGACTTGACACATTAACTGTGAAATTTCTTATTTCTTGCGACTAAAACTTAGCGCCATTGACTTCTATTTTCAACCTCGGGACAAAGTTCTATTTTATCAAACATAAGTTCAGTTGTTTATTTGATTAAAGAAAAGAACCAAAGCATGTTTGGCTCTTGGGGCAAAAACCAAAGTAAAATAATTTTCGGTTACGACTGAGGCTTCATGAATCTAAATTGAAATATTGGTTATATTTTTTAGTTCTTCTATCTTTTTCCTGTGTTACATTCGAAATCTGGCTGCACCGTACTTTTCTAAGTTTTTTGGCGGGAAAAATTACTGAATTTGAACAGACGTTACCTTCAGAATCAATTTTTAAAAAATTAACGCGTGCGTATTGAGTGTCGGAGTTTTGGCAGGAAAATTTTGAACTATTTAAAATTTCTCATTTTTCCAACAATAGAGTCAAAAAACAGTGTGCGATTTTCGCAAATTCAGTGGCAGCCCTATGAATTGTTGAATCTTGAAAGTATTGCGCTACATTTGCTCGGTACCTCTAGGTAAATATTGTTTTCATCTTGAATAGTCCATTTTACAGTTGTGTGCTTGGTTGCCAAGCCTTTGAATGGGAGTGAGGCTAGGGGTGACCTTGTTATGATACAAACCTTGCTGCCTTTCAAATGTAAATCACTTTGTTATCATGCTAACTAGATACAGGTCTCTATCACAACAAGGTCACCTTTAGCCTCACTCTGAATCAAAGGCTTGGCAACTAAATAATGTAAAATGGCCTATTGTAGTCTTGCTTCTTTTATTCTTTGTTGAAGTAGCAAAGATTTTCACCAGTCACTCTGCAAAATGATTGAAAAATAAAAATAAGCAAACTCACTACATGGAACGGTTCTTAAAGTCGCTTCTTTGAGCGATTATAATTATAAGTGTAACTGCCAACAAGTCCGGTTTCAACGCGCACTTTTAACTTTATTACAATACGGTCGATCGCAGTTGCTAAGAGAACAAATGTATGATTCGTCGACACGAAGAACGGAAAAAACTGAGAGTTGATCCTACAAAAGGAATCGATGGTTATCTCAAGGACTCTGATACTCTAGCGCTGAATTTTTTACCGAGAAGCTTGTACAAAATGAAATTAAACAAAGCAAAATTATACGAAAAAATCTAACAGGAGTATAAATCAACGTGAGTGAAAGAATGCGAAAAAAAAATAAGAAAAATGCGCGTGGAAAACGCAAAAATTTAATTAGGAACACAAAAGATCACTAGAATA